AATTTATTTTTCAGTTTAAATTTAGATAAGAAACAAAGTTGCTTCACAAGTCAGTTCCAGGTCCCTCTCCCTTTCCCTCCCCTCCTCCCATGCCCTCCCCCCCAGCCCCCCATTATCCCCTCATTTCCCCAGGGAGGGTGAGGCCCTCCATGGGGCTGTCCATAGTCTGTCATTTCATACAGGGCAGGGCCTAGACCCTCCCCCAAGAGTTCAGGGTGAGAGTGCACCTTACATTGTTGGATGGGAGTCCAAAGTCCGTGTGTATACTCGGGATGAGTACTGATCTGCTGCCCAAGGCTCAATAGATTACCTAGGCCTCCTCACTGACACCCACATTCAGGGGGTCTTGATCAGTCCCATGCTGGATTCCCAGGCTGATGCCTGGGATTCAAGAGCTAACCTTTGTCAGGTCAGCTGTTTCTGGGGGTTAAACCAGCCCAGTCTTAATCCCTTTGGTCAGCAGTCCTCCCTCTCTGTTACTGGCTTTCTTGAGTTCAGCTCAGTACTTAACCGAGGGAGTCTGCCTCTTCTTCCATCAGCCACTGAATGAAGTTTCTGTTTCCCAGACTCTCTGGCCATGAGATTGTAGGCTGGCACTCCCCAGATCTATGTCTAAAATCCATATATGAGAGAGTACATGCCATGTTTCTCTTTTTGTGACTGGGTTACCTCACTCAGGATGGTTTCTTCTAGTGTCATTCATTTGCCTGCAAATCTCAGGATTCATTTGTTTTTTTTCTGCTGAATAGTATTCCATTGTGTAAATGTACCACATTTTCTCTATCCACTCTTCGGTTGAGGGACATCTAGGTTGCTTCCAGGTTCTGGCTATTACAAATGCTGCTATGAACATAGTGGAGCAGATGCCCATGTTGTATGAATTTGCCTCTTTTGGATATATGCCTAAGAGTGGAGTTGCTGGGTCTTGTGGTAGGTTTATTCCCATTTTTCTGAGGAATCTCCATACTGATTTCCAAAGTGGCTGAACAAGTTGGCACTCCCACCAGCAGTGGAGGAGTGTTCCCCTTTCACCACATCCTCTCCAGCATAAATTGTCGTTGGTGTTTTTATTTTAGCCATTCTGACAGGAGTGAGATGGTATCTCAGAGTTGTTTTGATTTGCATTCAGGAAGCACATATCTTAAGGGCCATCTTGCACCTCCCAGTCCCAGGGCTCTTTACAAAAGGGAAGGGAAGTTTTCCCAGAGAGGCATGGACCTTTCTTTGGCTGTTGTAGGTGGTTGGTTTTTCTGTTTGTTGGCTGGGTTTTATACCTTCAGGCAGGGCAGTGCAATGGAGGACGTTTCTCCATTGTTGGCTCCCAGGTTTAACACACACAGTCAAGAGAGTCTGAACCCGTGTTCCTGTCTAAAAAGGATAAGGAAATTTGAGGCCAGCAAGACTATTAAAAAACATACACAAACAAGCAATCAAACAGCAACAAAATAAAAAAGAAGAAAAAAAAATAAACTGACAAAACTCAAACCAATGGGTCAGACAAAATATTAAGAAATTTTCAGTTTGAGTTGGATATAGAGAAATCTGCAAAAATATTAATCCAATATATTTTTACAACAAGTGGTTATCATAGAATTCAAAAGGAGATTTTAGAAGGGTAAAGGGAGGAAAGCCATCTGTTCAAATCCTTCACTTCAATACCTTCTTTCCAAGAAGAGGGCATGGCATTTGAAGCATGCACAGATGAGTTAGTGTGAAGACTTTGCAAATGGCCTGTCAGGTAGACCAGTGTCAATTGCAGGGAGGGAAACTATGCCACACTTAAACTGGGTCCCAAAGGACGGGTAGTGGGAACCCTTGCAATTTAACTGAATTGAAGAGGCCCTGGGGAAAAGGCAGCTGACTCGGTTGGATGAGTAGGGCAGTGCCGGACTGATGATTGGGTAAAGGGATGAGAGCTGCTTCAGGGTAAGAAGTTCCAGTAATTATGATGATTAAAATGCTTGTTCTCAGACCAAGATAACTATCTCCAATATGTGAGCTAATAATGATGAAATAATGGAAAGACATGCCAGAACATGGATAAATAGTTGTGTCAATCAATGAGATTACTGTTGGGACATGAACTGTGGTGCTCTGAATAAGAATGGTCTCCATGGGTAATAGATTTGAGTACTTTATTACTAGGGAATGGTACTATTTGAATAGGATTAGGATATTGTAATAACCTGGTGACCTTTGCTATCTGCAGGGCCAGGCCCCACCCAAATCCCCCAGAATGCTTATCCCAATTCTCCCTCCATGGACCTTTAGCTTTCTTTCTTAGTCAATAGAGCTCATCCTTAGGTAGATGCCTGCTGACCCCTAGGCTATCTCAGTTAGAGACTACACCAGATCCTAGACCCTTATGCTATAGAATCCATCTTCATGGTAGTGATCACAAGTACTATGCAAAAGAGTGTTGTTGCTGTTTTTTGTTTGTTTCCTATTGTTAGTGTTTGTGTGTGCTTGCACACACGCGCTGGTCAGGGACATGTAGGAGTCTGTTCTCTCTTTCCACATGTGAGTCTTGAGGATTGAAAGCAAGTCATCAAACTTGGCACTGAATGCCTTTACTATTTAAGCCATGTTGCCATTCCTACTGTTTTTGGTTTTTAAATTAAACTTTTAACCAATAGGCATAGCAAATTCCTTCCTCAACATACTCTATGTTCATTTCTATCATGAGGAGTAACCAAGAATCCACACAGTTAATTCCGAAGAAGGGAAGGATCCTGCAACTGAATTTAATATAAATGTCCCTCTATTTGCATTAATTACTATCTCCAGAGAAACAGCACCTCCATAAGGATGTAACTCAACTCAGTGGCAAGGAGGCTTGGAGACATTTTAGAGTATTTTCATCTTTTGTCAGGCTATTTCCATCTAAATAAATTCAAGTTTTATCAGTCCTACTGCAGTAACTGGGAACTTGCCTTGCCAGTATAATCTACCTCTGGATGAATCAGCAGCTTACTTATTTTTCTTAATTTCTGTAAATACTCAATATCATTTAAACCCAGGGATTTGTAACTCACTAACAGAAGATAGTCTATCTATAGGGCAATCTGATTAATCCTCAGGTAATGGCTCTCATTTTCACAATCTATAAGGCAAAGGATACAGTACTTTTCTTTACAGTTTTGTTCTATCTTTGTCTGACCTAGTGGTGAACTGAAGTCCAATTAGCAGAGCATTAGGATACTGAATTTAGAGTTCACTTTATGGTTACGTTAGTAACATTAATGATTTACTCTTTTTGCCCAATCTTCTATATCTATAAAATGATTCCAGCTTTGGGTTGTAAGAGTTAACGATACTGCATGTGAGTGTGGGAACACCAGACCTTGAGCAGAGACCCACTTCCCCTTCTGCCTGGGAGTAGGCAGCTGTAAGACAATGTTTAGTAAAAACATGTTTACTAAAAACGATACAATAAGTTCCTGGCCACTTCCCCTTCTGCCTGGGAGTAGGCAGCTGTAAGACAATGTTTAGTAAAAACATGTTTACTAAAAACGATACAATAAGTTCCTGGGAAAGGCCTTCCCACGGAAACCGCCCTGACCTCGACCTTGTCCAAAGACTAACCGCACCTTCAAAAACCCACACACATCCACCTCTGGTGTCAGAGCAGAACCAGCCAGGGGAGAGGAGAGAGCAGAAGCTTCTCTGGTAGGAGCTTTTCTTAGGAAGTTTTTCTTGAACCTTTTTGGAGCCTGTTTAAAGTTTTCTTTATATCATTGAACGAGTCTCTGTGTTGTCAATACCCGACACCCTCCGCACGTTCTCGGACACAGGCCGCGCAGCAGACGTGACATGTGAGAACACTAAATGGCTACATATCCAGTAACAGAACCTACTTATATGTCTAGATTAAAATAACAAAAACAGAAACAGTAGTTGTAGTACAGCAACGGATTTGAAATTTAATAGCCTGGTGGTACGAGTCAGTCATTTTCCATTAGCCTTCTTTCTAGGGCCACACCTAACCCTTCTGTTGTCCATGCAAAAGCACAGCTGTCCTCTTAAAGGAAAACTGTTTATTCTTGAGTCACTTAGAGTAGCCATAGCCTGGCAACACAAGATGTAGGTTGCCTCCAATTCCATTTTCCAGTGTGGAAGCAGTTTCATGAAGTCATGTTTTACAGAACAAAGAAAGTCATAAACTTAAGGCAAGTTTAAAACACATTGGGGGGTACCCCGGAGGGGCAGAAGCAATTTGGCGGGAGGTTTTCTATAGGCCCAAGATGTTACCTGAGCTTTTGGTTGGTAGAGTCTAGTGGGCTGCTAAGTGCATGGACTCCAACGGGTTTTTATCTGTTAGTCACAGGCTTATTCAATATACTCCCATGAAATAATATGTAAGTCTCTCGCTTTACCTTCTCTGATCCTTTTGAAAATCCATGGTTGTAATTATGATGGACATCCATTGTTTCAAAGATTAAGAGTAAAGAGCCCAAAACTGTACAAAACCATCCACGCAACCCTTCCTAATTCATAACAAGAAGACTTACAGGTATTGGAGAGATAACCCTACCGGGGCTGTCTACCTTTTGACATTGTCACACAATATTGTCATCTACAAGGTTCACACGGGAAAATCTCACGACCCAATAAAAAAAATTATCCCCACGCACGCTCTTGCTTATTATAAACTACAAATTTTGTGTGTGGGCAAAGCTGGAACCATCTGATGCAGTTCCTGAAATTCAGAGAAAAAAGAGTCGTGACAATTCACTTTCTAGAAACCGGGAAAACTGGTTCTCCACTATGTATGGCAGGGCTTGCAAGCTACGTGTGACCTTCACCTCAGCGGGGCGCAGCGCGCCTGCGCGAGGATCCCGAGGCGGAACAGGGCGCCTGCGCAAGGTTTTGCAGGGGGCCTCGGGAGTTCCCGGGGAAGCGGAACGAGGCGGCGCGCGCGCGTTCCTAGAAGGTTGGGGCGCCTGCGCGTGTTGGGCGAAGCGGGGACAGGGCGCCTGCGCGCGGCCCGGGAGGCAGGGCGGAGCACCTGCGGGGTAGGCGTGGCCGGCCGGAGTTGGTTGCTAGGCTGAGGGGCGCAGCCCTTCGGGTTTAGTGTTCCCCTAAGTCGTCACAGCGCAAGTGCGGAGCCCGGCGGCTCTCAGGTGCTCCGAGCTGCAGCGCGAGGGCCATGGAGATGAACCAAGCAGCGAGCAGGAACGACGGTGTCCGCGAGCGGGGCGGCCCGACCGGAGCTGGAAGGAGGGAGCAGAACCGAGATGAGAGGCCTCAGAGCGGGACGAACGGGCTCCCGAAACACTCCTACTGGATGGATCTCTGGCTCTTCCTCCTTTTCGACCTGGTGGTGTTCGTCCTCGTGTACCTCTTGCCCTGGTGAGCATCTCGAGTGCGGAGTTGAAGTGCTCAGAAACTGGGGGTGGCTCCAGTCTCCCCAGGGAGGAGGCACAGCTGGAGTTGGCCCAGTGGGGCGGTGGGGCTGGGAGGAAGCCACAGTGGTCCTCCTTCGCACCCGCGCTGTCTTGAGTTGCAGAACCACTACGAAGGAACTGAGGTTAACTTCTAGAAACTTTTATCTGTTATTGCAATCTATAGCAAATTAGTAGGGCGTGACAGATTAGGTGTGACTAAAAGTGATTCGGACGTTGTGTACGTGCTTAAAGCACGTTTAGCCGAAAGCAGGCCATGTAAAACATAACCTGACCCAACCTTTCATAAATTTTCTGCAGATATGTTTATTATCTTCCAAAGTACCCTATTCCTATATCTGTCAAAGGATGGAGTATCAAACTTCTTTGCGTCTCCCCCACGCCCCATTTTGTGGCAGGTTAGAAGGCAGGAAGGGTTGGTGGGGAGGACAGGATTTTTTTTTTTTGATAACTTATTCAGCTATTTTGGTAGAGATTGACATTTCATGAACAGCAATTTATTTATTTACATTTATTTACTTTGTTCTGATTGTCACCTCTGGGTAGAAAAATCCTAGACTTCATGATCTAGGCCTTTTTGTTTTTCCTTATCCATGTAAATTATGTAGGGATGGGCATATTGTTAGCCATCAGTTTGGCATTACATGTCTAACTAAGCAGATGAAAAAGTGTTAACCAGTGTTTGCTTTTTACAGACTGCTTTGCTAAGACATCAAGAATGTGTTTTCTGGAGCGAAACCTGTATACTACAGACTTCTTGAATAAAGATGATTTCCCGAAGCTGAATTTCAGACCTCTAACCTTGCCTTAAGCTCTGACCTCCCTAAAATTGTTCCAAGCCTGTTTTTAATGCTTGAATTAATGATTGTAGCTAAATGATATATATATAATATATTTTTAATAATGCCTGTAACTTAAGTACTTAAGGGAAATTCATATGGAATTTACTCATCCAACGCCTACTGGACCCCTCACTGTTAACCAGTCATCATTTTGGACACAGTGGTCAGCAACAGCAAAACAACATTCCTTTGTGAAGCTTACTTTCTTGAATATTGTTGTTTTAAAAATATGCTATTTTAAAATCCTTATTGTCTATGGTTGGGTAGGTAGCATTTATTCAGAAATGCCACAGTCCCAAAGTAGCCACTATAAGTACTTTGGAAGCTGTTCCTTTTTGTCCTAAGATTTGGGTAATTAGAAATTGGTTACTGTTGGTCTTAGTGCTATTCAGTATATGAAAACTGGCTAAGATATTGGAGGTGGGGGCGCTTCTCCCTTTTAATTTAATCATAATATTTGGTAAACTGTTAACTGTTAGTCTTCAGGATATTGTTGCATTTGCCTGGATAATTTTTTGTAACTGAAGCATCTCTATTGGAACACAGGATGGCACTTTTTACCAGACTGTGCGTTCGATTTGTACCACGTACTTTCTCTAATAAATGTTTAGTCCTATCACTGGATTTAGTTTCACTGTCTCAGATTCTCTCGTGATAAGGAAGGTTAATAGTCCTGGCATAGCTCGCTGTTAGGTCACAGGTGCACTCTGTTCTCTTGAGCCCAAGCCAGCCTACTACAGCTATCAGATACTCTGAAAATTGATAGTATGGAGATCTTAGTTTGGTTAATTTTGGGGTCACTTTGGGCTAAGGGATCCACAACAGATGATGGTAAAACATTATTCCTGGGTATGTCTCTATTTCTGAAAGATAAACTAATATGCTGGGAAAATAGTAAAGATACTCTCCCTGATATGAGATCATCCAGTCCTTTTAGTACCTGAATGAAAAGAGAAGGCAAGTCCTCTTTGCTGTGGCATTTGTGAGGATGCCATCTTGGGATGAATGAAGGCTGTGCCAACCTTCAAACAAGACACTAGGATCTTCAGGACAAGCTGCACTCAGCACAGCTGTTGTCTCCAAGCAGGACTGTTCTTACCTCAGAGTTAACCATCATAGGCCCCAGCTGTGACTGCTCTGAGTGTTGAGTACGGTGACATTGAACCATTGCCTTAATGCCTCCCCTTAAAATAGCGTTTGAAAAGCTTTCTCTTGAGTGTCATGCCCACTGTAGCTGGGCAGCTGTATTTAAATTGTACTCTCGACTTTCTCATGTTTTTTCCCCCGTCTCCCAGCTTCTCTGTCCCTAAGGTTTGAACTAGCACTCAAGCTTTCCTAGGCTTCAAGCCTACAGTGGATCGATAAGACATCTGAGTCTCAATTAGGTGAGCCAATTCCTCATGCTAAATTAATTTCTATCATCTATATCTAATCTATATCATCTATCATACTTTCAAGAACTCTGCCACAGTAATATAACTAATTGGCACATAAGAACAGCATGAAGGCTGAATCTCTTATAGACAAATTTTTTAGTAAACACTTTGGAAATTACTAGAAATTTGCAAATGGAATTTAAAGGCAAGCTGCCAAGTTTGTTCCCATCAAAAAACAGCAAAAGAGTAATCTGGTAAGTTCCTTTATAAATCATACTTGGTTTCTAAACAAGAAATAGCTTCTGACAGTTCCACTTGAATTAGCTTAAGACTTGGAAGAAGTTTTTAGGGAGATGTTAACCTCAAGTTACACGATGTGAAGACCTCTAAGTACCAGGCCGCAAACACAAGAATACATTGGAAGTCAGTGTTGATGGGTGACTGTTCTGTGACAATGCAGATCCTGGGCATCAGGCCAAACATTTTCTATATGGCTTCTTAGCCAAGAATGGATTTTGCTTTTGCTTTTACATTTTGTTTTCTGAGACAAGCTCTCACCATGCAGCCCTATATACAGGGCTGGCCTGGAACTAGCTTTGCAGGCAAGGCTTGCCTTGAACTCAGAATGATCCACCTGCCTCTCTCCTCAGTGCTACATTTAAAAGTGTGAGTCACTTTGTCCGGTTCATTTTTTTTTCTTTATACAATTTGAAGTGACTGGAAAACAAAATTTCATGACACATGAAAATCACGATGCAATCTAGATTTTGATGTTTTATTGAAAAATAGCTACACTCATTCATCACAAATTGTTGACTGTTTTCAATCCAAAAATCTGAGTAGTTGTTAGAGATTTACTGTCCTCAGTCTAGATAATTTACATCATGCCCTCTACAGAACGGCTGCCAATTTGTCTAGGAGCTGTGGTTCAGACTTTGCTGGGATTTAAATCTTAAGAACTCCTGGGCTAATATTTTATGATCTTTATTTTCTTTTTTATGTTTCCCATAAAATGTGTAATGTGTGGAAGGCGACACAGTTCATAAATGCAAAAAAAAAAAAGACTAGCTATATTAGCTTAACATTGAGTCTCTTAATTTGTTTTGAGCCATAAGAAATTAATTTCACATGAAAATACAATATTCTGAAGATAACTATTTGAAACATGATTGCATTATTTAAGAAGTTACAAGCTTATAACATGGAAACATTGATAAAAATAAGCATCAGAGAAGAAGAAATGTGTACAAATGTGTACTGAATCTATTCTGTGTTGAATCAACAAATGACTAGTTTCTACTTAAGTCAGTATTATATAATGCAGAGGGTTTTAACTGAGTAAAGTGAGAAAAACATTTCTGTTTGCAAACTCAACTGAGTTGAAAATGTACATCTATGAAACTGCTGTAAAATACAGAAATTAGTTTAATGTTTCAAATAATACATTACCAACAGGGAATATGGACCAAATAGAAAACTTTAAACTTAAAAATCTTTTATAAGCTATTAAAAATAACTGAAGCTCTTTTCTAGTATTTTACAATGTTATAAAAGCAAGAATTATAAACATTGACATTTCAAATTCAATTTTACAAACTTTACATTATTTACAAACTCTCCATACTAAAAGCTGTTAAAAAATAAGCTTTAGGGGTCAATTTTAATTTGATATTCAAGTGTTTCTTAAGAAATACAAAGCAATGACCACCAACTAGCACGGCTGGAATAAAAAAAAACATATTTGGCCAAGAATTGGTAACAGTGTGAATTCAGACTTTTATAAGCAATTTTCAGTTTATCTAAAAGAACTTTTCTAAAACACACTTTGGATTTTAACAATCTCTGGGATTCAGCAAGCTACTGAGTTTATCAGTTTACTGACTTAAAATAATGATTACAAAACTTAACCGTTTAGAGACAAAGACAACTAATTTTGTAGTTCTCAATTCTCTGGAGTAGGTATTATGAAACTATTCTAAAGCCCAATTGATTTATTCATCTGTTACAAAATAAAATCATAACTAATAATGCAATTCAATTAACTTTCAACATAATAATGAACATTCCTTTCGATATAAACTTCACTACATGGTGGTAGTGCACATAAAATTACTTATTTGTTTAAGAGAAAAATGAATAACATTTCATCAAGATTAAGCCTTTATATAAAGGCAAAAACCTAAGCATTGACAATCTTTAGCAATCTTTAAGTAATAAAAGCAGCAGTTCAATTACAATAAGAAAGCCCAATGTTAATTTGTAACACTGGTCATTAGCAGCCCAAAGTAAATCAAAGGGAAGACCTTTCACATTTCACACAGGGCTAGAAAACAATTTAACAAGATAAAGAATATACTACAATACTTTTACTTTTAACTTACAAGATTGAAATATTTTAATACAAATTATAAAGGCTAATTTATGTTAAATAGATATTCTGAAAAGTTCTAGCAATAAAGTTTTATATGACCTTGAGATTTTAATTTAAAAATGGTGATCATTAAGGCAAATGCTTTCCAGATGATAACATAACAAATCCATGGTTACTTTAAGACACTTGAAGGATCACACATACTAGACTATCACAGAAGTCAAAGGCATGTGGGTATAGCCATCTTTTGGTTACCCACTACAAAGTGCTCTGCAAAAAGCAAATACTGCTTTCCCTAGACAAACTGCATTTCTTAATTAGCAAAATGCACCAATCTACATATTAATACATGTTAGTATAATACTCTTACATCTACCTGCCACGTAACAGGAGACATGGTATTTGCTCAACTGTTACATATAGTAAATGAATTGTACACACCCTTTCTTACTTTTCAAGGTATACCAAGGCCACTCACACGAGAATTTCTAAAATATTTAGTGAACTGATCATCACAAAATGTGTAAGTTTAACCTGGTTAATTTCAAAATACCAGTCTTTGTTTTATATATCATTAGGTTTTGGTTAGTTTGTATATTTAAAAGGCCAGCACATTTATCTTAAAATGGATACCAGAGTTTGTATCTTTGTTTAGAAGGACAGTGTGAACAAAGATGACCACTATGTAATGGATCCTTCTACATGCTCTGTCTGAGATAGTGAATTATTACAATAGCTGCTGCTCTCTGGAAAACAAAGCTTGGGTCTTTGATGATATTTCAATCTGTATGTATCAGTCATGCAACTATCAACTGAAAAATAGGTAGTTAATGAAATTGCTTCATTTGGGCACACAGAACTAGAGTACTGATCTGGTTGGCAAGGTGCATCAACTACTGCTTTCGAGTTTGCCTGACGATCATTAGTTGCATAACTGGATGGGCAGTTGTTGGCGGCATGCTGCTTCACTTGAATAGTTTCTTTATCTTTTTCATGGATCATGTATAAACTCCCTTCTAAGCTTGGTCCTGATGTGGTACTCAAACTGTGTTTTGGAAGATTAGAGGAATTACCTGTAAGTCTGACTTCAGGTATAAATTCCGCTCTCTCTAACTGTGGCACACTGGTCACAGAATATTTCTTTGGTGGCAAAGGGGGTGGTGAACTGTGGCAATGAAGTTTTGGCATCTGACAGCTATCGGTGTTGCAGGATGACTGAAGAGTATGTTCTCTGGATAGAGAGTTCTCAGAGTAACACTGTCCCGTGATGTTCTGCTGTGGCCAAAATATGAGGGGTCCAGTTTCTGTCTTCAGTTCAGCAGTTCTCACATGTGAGAACAACGAGGATGGTGAGACTGTTTCATTACTGCTGACTCTCTTTCCAGACACAGAACAGTCATCAGTGTGGAATCGCAAGCCTGTTCCTTCAGAAATTTCTGTATTACGCCACTCAGAAAACTTGGTCCCATCAGATTTTTCCAATTTCTGTTCATTTGTCTGGTAGACATGCTCTCTTGTAATATGGTCCTTAAGTGTTTGTAGGCTAGCTGAAGGAAACGACCTGTCACTGGTTTCACCGATATGTGATCTGAAATTTGAAAAAAAAATAAAGCCAAATAACCACATAGGGAAACTATATTTGTATTGTAGTTTGATTTTCCCAATTTGGTTTATAGTTTTAAACACAGTAGTAGAAATGGGGACTATTTTCAGTTTCTCTGATCCTGGATCTAGATGCCAGAGTTGTACATATGTGACTACCAGAAACTTCCGTCACTTTAAGAACCACTATCATCACTTTGTATGATGGGGTGTAGTGGAGACCGAACCCAGGGTCTGTATGTGCTAACATGCACTCTGTCATAGCATGAGTTTTTAAGGTCACAATTAGAAATGTGACCTTAAAAACTCATTTCAAATGGAAAAAACTGAAATTACATTGAGTTATGATAAAATGTAACACAATACAAGGAAAATATTACAGGCAAACAATTCAATACTTTGAAACATTTCCTACCAACATTACAATGTTCATGGGCAGCAGAGGTAGAGATACTTAAATTCTGATATATAATGTAGGAACAGTGTACTAATCTCAACTTAATCAAGACTGTCTTGAGGTAATCAGTGTTTTTAAGGTAAAGATAAAATTATTTTCTCCTATTTTTCTTCTATAGATTATTTGGGATTGAAACAACATAATGGCATCATGGCTCAGTAGATACAACTATGATGAAGTCTCAGTTCCACTGCTTTGCATAAGTCATTTATTTAAATTGCAAATTTTGTGGGGTTTTCTTGTTTGTTTTTTGATAAATAGAGTATGTTAGGAACCTTGAGTGGTGACCTTGGCGGATTCCATGGCAGGCAAGCTTGACTGAGGCAGAGGGACAAACATGTCATCAGGCAGACAGAGCTTAGTGAGAAGTCTTATTAGAAAGGGGGGGGGTAAGAGAAAAGAGGTAAAGAGACACAGAGAGGACAGAAGAGAAGAGGGGACAGGAAAAGCCCTGTCTACTCAGGGACACAGCAGGAAAGAGAGCATGAGTGGGCAGCGGTCTTTCTTTTAAAGGGGTCCTTTGCAGCTGCATGCAGACTATGTAGGGAGTGGCAGCATAATGCCTAAACCCTTACATAGTAGACCCTCCTTATTCACGGTTTTAGTTACCCAAGGTGAATCATTAAATGAAAAATTCCTGCAGTTATCAATTGTTTTAAGTTGTACAGAAGTCTGAGTAGCGTGCCATTTAGGCTATGCGCCATCCTTTGTGCAGGCCACCCATGCTGTTTCTGAGTCCTGCCCACTCCTAGAGCTATCAGACTGATGACTGCTGTGTCCTGTGCAGTGTGTGCGCTCACCTAATTCTGGTCTGTAAGGGCACGTGATAGCAGCTCTGAGACGCCAAAGGAGGCACTTCCTTAAGTCCTAGGCTTAGGGAACTGAAGAATAGGCTCATGTACTAATACCCGCAATAAGAACCCGAGACCATGAGAAAGGAAAATGAAAGTCATGCTGGTTTTGTTTATATCTCAAACTGCAAAAAGTCAGTGTCACAGGGTAAATAACTGCTTAGTGGAGATAAGGCAAAGCTAAGGACACTGGTACTACATAGGAATATTGCATCCAACAGTTTGTAGGCATTCTACCTTAGGTCTACACGCTATTCAATAATACCGATAAAATAAGTATCGTAATGCCTTCAGATTAGAAATATACCTGTATGTCCTTCTGCCAGCATTCCAATTACATATGAATTTAGGAACTGAAAATTTCCTATTTCTAAATATCTAGGATTACCTTTTTATGAAATGGCTTTTTATTTGCAGATGTGATTCTGGGTGGAGCTCATGACATCTATCACCTGCTTCCAAGTCCTGGGTTTTTTTCCTAAAACCTGGGGTAGGAGTGAAGGGGAACATAAAATTATTTAAATGATCTTATAGACTCTATCCCATTCATGTTTACATTTATGTAAGCCAATTCTTTTGCAAGTAAAGAAAAAAAGTGCATTCTTCAAGACAACTGAAAATAAGACACTGCCGCCCCGCTTCTGCACACACCCAATCTTTCCATTTGTTTAATGAATCCTTTTATGCAGGACTACTTGTTGTCAGCATGCAACAATCCCAGAGCAGTGCTATTCTGGGTCATGTGTCCTTCCCCAGTGCAGTTCTTTACTGAAAAGATGTACAGGGGAAATAACCCTGCATCCGAAGACACAGTAGCTTTAGGCAGGCCTATTTCCATTTACAGCTGCCTTCTTTATGCCATGAGATAAGAAGCCATTTTACTCACCTCATAGGAATGTTTAGGGATGTCAATTCAGTCAATATAGTGGGATGGTATTAAAACAGTACAGAAGACAAACTCCTATTTGTCAATCTACTAAATTATTACCGTCTTCGTTTGAAACACACTTTACAAGGATACATAACTTGTTCAAGATTCTATAGGTAGCAAATGCAAAACCAGACCTGTACAATTCAAGTCTGTGCTTTTCCATCCCTGGGGATGGAATTGGGGGCTCTCTACACAACAGGCAAACACTCCACCACACTCTTAAACCATGGTTCAGTTTGTCCTGTGTGACTTAACTTACCCTCAATGCTAACAATGACTCAGGTTTTCTCAAGTGTTATTAAAGGCATAGGAAAAATAACTTACAATCTGATTTGTTATTTTTAGGTAACACTGTAAATTCCAAATTCATACTTTTCTTGTTTAAAAAACATTTAGTACCTGGAAGCCAATATTGTAGCATGTAAAGACAGCATCCCTAGCTCCCTCTAGTTCTTTCTAAACATCGGTTCTTGGAAGACTGTCCACGAGACAGGTTTTAGCATATTAATGTTCAGGGTAAAGCATCTGGGTACCCTTCTACACAGAATCACTTTAGAAAGCTCTTAAGAGTTAAAAATTAGAAGGTGTGCGATGAAAAGAGCTAAGACATCTACACTTTCACAGCAGTTTCCCTAAGAACATCCTGGTCTCTTATACAAATGTTTGATGAACTTGAGAATCTGAACATCAAGTGACTTTTCTCTTGCTAAGTACAGCAGATCTGAGGCAGATAGGAAAATATCAATAAAACCACAAGGACAAAATTGTAACCAAAGCATAGAAGTAACTTTGGAATTTAGTCAACTACTTTGTGAATTCCCTATCATCAATGGTTGGAACTTGTGCTGCTGGTAACTGTGTTGGTCACTGCCACACACTTGTGATTTTTAACAAAAATTCAATGAAGCTCTGGAAGCTGGCTCAGAAGGTGACTTCTTGACTCCATGTCTGAGGAAATGACTTTGATCCCAGGGACCCATGTGACAGGAGAGAACTACCTCCCTCCTGAAAGCTGCTCTGTGATCTTCACATGTGCCGGGATGTGCGTGCAGACACTGACACACACACACACACACACACACACACACACACACACACACACACCACATATTGTTGGTGATATTGTCAATGGCAACACATAAGCTTTTAGATAAGATTTTGGAAAACTTGTATATCTACTATGATCTTTTTTGTAATTTTGTAATACTCATGTTCATGGTGATATTAATAGTTATAGAATATAAGGTATCAATATCTTAAAGATTTGAGTAACTTAGCAAAGCACATTCCCTACCCTAGCAATTGTAGATGTTACAATAAAATACCCCCTTTGAGTGCTGGGCATTTCTAGAACAAACAACAAACTCTGACATTTTCCAACATCATCTCTGTGTGAACCTGGATTTTCTTTATACAGGAAGAGACCTTAATGTAAAGTCCAAATGCAAACTCTATAAGAACGCAGCCAGGCATTATTACAACCACATATTCCTTTCACTATTCTCTGTTTTCAGAAGCACTCTTTTTAAACATTCTCCCACTCCATTATCTATGTTTGCCTTTATTCATCTTTCTGAAGCTTGATCTTCTGCTCAAAAGAAATTTTGTTTATATTAGCATGTACTAGATTTTTCTCTAAGTGAAGAAATATTTTTAAATTTTCTTTTCCATCATCAGCATAGGAAATGCTGATATAACCCTCAGAAACAAAATCCTGTTGCAAATCAATCCTCTTTTAAGGTTATAAAGATGTTTTGAAACACAAAATGTGCCACATTTCCTTTCCTGGTTGATTAAAAGCCAGTCATAACTATTGTACCAACAGTCCCCTTTCACAATGAAGAGATGGCTGTGAGAAGTTAGGGAACTTAACCAGTTCTATTAGCTCGCAGGAGAATTACTGTTAGCAGAAAGCCACTGCTCTTCGCACTCACTGTGAGCTCCCACTTGCATATACCATTAGTATCAACCCCCAATCACCTCTCATGCTCATGAAACTAAGGCATTGTTTTAAACACCACAGAACATGACCATTCCTGTTTGTTTATTTATAAGGTACAGCTAAGGCAGGCCTAGAACTCATGATCTTCCTGCCCCTGCCTCCTCAACATATCCCACCAGTATATACCACAAAACAATATTCTTAAACAAGGTAATGCCATAGAAAATACCCAAATACCTGGCGCTACAAGTTCACTGTACAATTGGAAATTCTTGCTTTTTTTGTACTTTAGTTGACATTTTACCACCCATTTATCTGTTCCCCTTTATTCCCTAGTTCTAATTTCTTTGTACATCAGAGATCTATGAACTGGAGGCCACAAAGAAAGCAAAAGAAAACTGAAACTTAAGTTTACAAACACTGAGTTGCTTTAACTTAGGTCACCTTTTAGTCCCTAAATAGAACTTTTTGGTATATTATAAAACAAGTCAACCTGATCATTCTAAAATCAACTGCAAAATACAGTTGATGAAGATGTTACTCTAAAAAAGATCAATATTTATGATCAGAAGGTTAAATTTTGAAAGTGACTTAAAGCTGCAGATCAGCATCATTCAATCAATTCACACTGATTAAAATTCATTTCACTTTGTACCCAATAAACACAAATATAATTTGTAAATATATATAATTCTATCCTTGTTCTAATTATTCACACACTAAACAGCAGGAGGCAGCAGAGGGCTTATAAACATCTGAAAATTTAATACCTTCTGTGGCAGGCATTCAACCCAGTGGTTTGAGTTCAGAATTCCAACTAACTTAAAAATAGATGTGTTATTTCTCTCTGCTGCTGACACAGACATCCTCATGTCTTTACAGGGAGTTCTGGCTCCAAGTTCTCTGTAAATCTGACAGTCCAATTTTAACACCTGGCATAGAAGAAACCTCAGTACTAAGGCAACAGGCTCCAACTAATGTTAACTAATTCTGTAAGAACTCCACAACACAATATTCCAGAAGTTGAAATGTATGCTTTGTCTGAAAAGATGGTTTATGTTTAGAACAGGTTCACTGAGAAATACACTAAAATAAGCCAAGAAGTATACTTTTCACTTAATGTGAGATTTAAAAACACAATAGTTCTCAACTTGCATACTTATTTCAACTTATAATTACAAATACTAAGCATATAAGAACAGGAATTTAGACACTGACTTATTTACAAATAAAATATAATTAAATATTTCAGAAGGATCTAGAAACTTTTAACTTTCTAAAAATATTTCTAGCGCCTACTAAAAAGACATTAAGATAATATAGTGTATAGAAATCTGTGCCATATGACACCTAACTTTTTGTGATGTTATAAGCTAAAATGGTAGAAGTCAGTAACTTTCTTTTTCACTGAGATTATATTTTAGAGAAAAAGCAAATACTGCTATTTTGTTATAAATGAATTTCAATACTACAAGTTTAGTTTTTAAAAATGAATAGATTATATTTTTAAAAGTTCAGAAAAGATTAAAAACTAAAAGTGACACAAAGGATTACAAATATGCTAGCCTGAAGATCAGAGTGGAGAACTAGCCACTAGCTAACCATGGAGGTCTGGAGGTCTGTACAGAGACAGGAAGTGAGGTGGCTGGGCAGAGAGAGTAATACAGATGGGATAAGACAGGAACTCTTGTCTCTTTTCAGTCTGAGGTTTTCTTAGAGGTAAGAACTCTAGTGGCTGACTGATTTGCTTCTCTGATCTTTCAGCTTTCACCCCGTAATATCAGGCTCAGAGCTTTTGTTATTAAGATCTATCAGAACTTGTGTAACGCAAGTGCCCCTCAAATAGTCTAGTATTAACATTCAGCACCCTTGTAAACACTGAAAACCAGCAATCTATATTATGGTCATTTGCCTCAATGCTACCCCCACCGCACCACCATTTCTATTACTTCTTTATCGCCTAACTAATGACTCCTTGCAAAACCACGCTGGGATTTGAAGTTCTGTTTGTGTGGTCTCCAAGCCTCCCTCTCTCTGCATCCTCTGTGCAGTGCCCTCGCCTCTTTTCTTTTATACTTTCTCAGCTATGGAGACTTGGACCTTCCTGAGGCTTTGACTCCCTCCATTTCTCTTACCCAGCTTCTTTGCTTTTTTTTTTTGTCTACTCTTGTTTTGCCGTTTCTAATTTTTCTGAATGATCTGTCCAAACATAAGGTACTCAATTCCATAAATGATGATTGCAAACCACAAATTTTTTGTGATTTCTACACTTGGTTCTTCACTGAATAAGAAAACCTATTTACCAAGGTGATGAGCTCAACAAATTATAAACTAACATCATATCCATTCCCTCACTTCCCCTCTTATTTTCCCATTTTAGTAAATGGTGTATCTAGTTATGTTGACATGGCTTTCTTCCTTTTTTCATTATACATGTTTACCCACTTAAATCATCTTTCTGGACACGGGTAATACCTTAGTTCATGACCTTATATTTGTCTTTTAGGTTAAGGCAAGATGCAAATAATTTTATCAGTGCTCGAAATTCACCCTCTACACTGCTACCAAAGAGCACAAAGCTGCAACCTGATTTCAGGTCTATTAGTTCCTCT